CTTTGGAGAGTTTTGTTTAATAAGAAAAATGACGAGTCGATGTTAATGAAACTGTCGATCGACAACCATTAACGATCGAAGCCAATTAATAGATTTCCGCTAATTACGAATGAGAAGGGAAACGTTAATCACGAATAACTTGTTTCTTCGACAGCCTCCCAGTGTTCCCCGCTTCCGGAAGCACCGCACTCGAACATAACCATTCTAAATGGAGGTGGACGAAGTTACGGAACGATCGTGCGATTCGAGTGCGAGCCAGGATACGTAAGAAGCGGACATCCGGTGATCCTCTGCATGAGCAACGGGACCTGGTCCGACCTGGTGCCAACTTGTTCCCGTGGGTATTCGATTCTTTGCGAAAGAAAAAAAGTTCTTTACGTGGTATATTATTTGACGACACTTTCTCGCGTCTTAGGTGCAAAGTGCCCGTTGCTGCCGACGATCAAAAACGGGTTCATAGTCGACACGACGAGAGAGTACCTTTACGGAGACGAGGCCAGGGTGCAGTGCAACAGAGGTTACAAACTGTCTGGCTCGAACATTATACAATGTGGACCTAATCAGAGGTTTGACAACGTGCCAACCTGCGAAGGTACGATCACAGACGTTCGTCACTTTCATTTCTTTTTTATTATTTTACGATCGACGGTTATTTCGGAAGGTTAAACAGGCGTTTGAAAAGGATTAACTAACCTTGGTGCCGATTTTAAGAGTGTTTATCTATCATTTTTATTGCTAAAACGATTATACTCGTCAAATTATACTCGTGAAATTGAGTTAAATTACGAGGAAATGACACTAGCTCTTTTTGTCGAAAATTAATAGTTTAATTTAACTTGATTGATATTATTAAATATTCGTAATTTTCTTGTGAAACAAAAATATCAAACGTTTGGAAATTAGAAATCGAATTTATCTTTTCAGAACGACGTTTCTTAAAGCAAGGCACAAACATCAAATGTTTGGAGAAAATAAAAAGAAATTAGAAATTTACCTAAATTAATTAAGAAATTTAGTCTTTCAGAGTAATATTTTTCTTAAAGCAATATTTCTACGACACATAATGGCACTTGTCTAAAATTTACAAACACGAAAAATTCAAATTAATTCATTTAACAACAAATTGTAATTACTTTTTTCTACATTGCACGCAAAAGAATTGCCATTTTTTCGGAACGAGTACGCTCGTCATTCGCAGCTAAAAGGTTAAACATGAAAAGAATAGACGCGTAACGAAATTTATTCTGCGCAGACATAAACGAATGCGCATCGAGCCAGTGCGATCTAGCTTCCACAGAGTGCATCAACAACCCTGGCGCGTTTACCTGCAAATGCAAATCTGGCTTCGCCCCGACCATGGAGTGCAGGCCTATCGGAGATCTTGGATTGATCAACGGCGGTATCCCGGACGAATCCATCACCGTTTCGAGCTCCGAGAACGGATACACCAGAACCGTGAGTAGATTTTCGAAACTGGCAAGATTTTAAAGCAAAAATTTCGAATATTTGAAATTCTAAAATATCTCGTTGAATAAAAATAATTTCAGATATTTTAAATTGGAAAATATAGTTGAATAAAAGTTTCAGATATTATTTCAAAGTCTAGAATATCTAGTTGAATAAAAATTTAAAATATCTCGTTGAATAAAAATAATTTCAAATATTTTAAATTCAAAAGTATCTCGTTGAATAAAAATTTCAAATATTTCAAATTCTAGAATATCTCGTCGAGTAAAAATTTCAAATACTTCAAATTCTAAAATATCTCGTTGAATAAAAATAATTTTAAATATCTTAAATTCAAAAATATCTCGTCGGACAGAAATTTTAAATATTTAAAATTCTAAAATATCTCGTTGAATAGAAATAATTTTAAATATCTTAAATTCAAAAATGTGTCGTCGAATAAAAATTTTAAATACTTCAAATTCTAAAATATCTCGCTGAATAAAAATAATTTTAAATATTTTAAATTCAAAAATATGTCGTCGAATAAAAATTTCAAATAGTTCAAATTCTAAAATATCCCGTCGAATAAAAGTTTTCAAATAGTTCAAATTCTAAAATATCCCGTCGACTAGAAATAATTTTAAATGTCTTAAATTCAAAAATATCTCGTCGAATAAAAATTTTCAAATAGTTCAAATTCTAAAATATCCCGTCGACTAGAAATAATTTTAAATGTCTTAAATTCAAAAATATCTCGTCGAATAAAAATTTTCAAATAGTTCAAATTCTAAAATATCCCGTCGACTAGAAATAATTTTAAATGTCTTAAATTCAAAAATATCTCGTCGAATAAAAATTTTCAAATAGTTCAAATTCTAAAATATCCCGTCGACTAGAAATAATTTTAAATGTCTTAAATTCAAAAATATCTCGTCGAATAAAAATTTCAAATAGTTCAAATTCTAAAATATCTCGCTGAATAAAAATAATTTTAAATATCTTAAATTCAAAAATATGTCGTCGAATAAAAATTTCAAATAGTTCAAATTCTAAAATATCCCGTCGAATAGAAATAATTTTAAATGTCTTAAATTCAAAAATATCTCGTCGAATAAAAATTTCCAAATAGTTCAAATTCTAAAATATCCCGTCGAGTAGAAATAATTTTAAATGTCTTAAATTCAAAAATATCTCGCCGAATAAAAATGGCAGATATTTCAAATTCTCAGAATATCTCGTCGAATAAAAATGTCAAATGTTCTAAATTCAAAAATGTCTCGTCGAACGGTATGTTTTCTCGCAGGGCATTCGATTGAACAACGGGGACGGTTGGTGCGGCAACAACATCGAGCCGGGTGCAAACTGGCTGATGATCGACATGAAAGCACCGACGATCGTCCGCGGTTTCCGCACGCAGATCGTCTCGAGGGTGGACGGGAACATAGCGTACACGTCAGCGGTGCGAATCCAGTACACCGACGATCTAACGGACACGTTCAGAGACTACACGAACCCCGACGGAACGCCGGTGGAGTTCCGAATACTGGAGCCAACGTTGTCCGTTTTGAATCTGCCGGTGCCGATCGAGGCGCGTTACGTCCGATTTCGAATTCAGGACTACGTCGGCGCGCCTTGCATGAAACTCGAGATCATGGGATGCACTCGTTTGGAGTGTACGGACGTGAACGAGTGCGCCACCAACAACGGTGGATGCCACCAGAAATGTATAAACAATCCGGGGAGCTACGCCTGCATGTGCAACACGGGGTACGAGTTGTACAAGGGCAACGGGACTGCCGGTTTCTACATAGAAAAGTACGAAACCGGCGAGAGAGACGGGGATCTGTATCAGAAGAATAAGACTTGCGTGCCAGTTATGTGCCCGGCTATGTCCGCCCTTGAGAATGGCAAGATATTGTCGACCAAGGTTCGAATTTAACGTGTAATTGTAAAGTGTGTTTGATCTTGTTCGTTGTACGGGCAAAAATATATATTGTTTTTGAACTCTGTTTTGTAGCAACAGCATCACTTTGGCGATTTAGTGAGATTCCAGTGTAACTTTGGATACGTGTTGTCCGGATCATCGGCTGTTATCTGCACGTCCAGCGGAGCTTGGAACGGGACTACTCCCGAGTGTCAATGTGAGTAACGTTGGAAAAATGGCGAAAAATGATCGATTCAAATTATTGATAATAGCTCATCATTGTTATTGATAACAAAAATCAGTAGTAGAAATTAAAAATTAATAATAGGTTGATAATAGAGATTCCTAACAGTAGCCATTAACGAATAATGCATATAATACATAGAAACCGTCGAAACCTTGAAATCATCACGAGTGGCATTAATCTTTTGCGCTGGAATGACGTGACTTGAGAATTTTTGGTCTCAAATTACAATATTTTCTCAGTTCTAAGTATATTTAAATGTAACCCAGGCAAAACAAATAATAAATTTATTACTTCTTAATAATTTCGCATCCAGTGATGTAACACTGACGAGTTCAAAAAGAAAAGAAAGCGACGATGTTATTGTATACGGTTCGGTCACTCGTTATGGTCCGCAAGGGGTTAATAGCGCAACGTATAACACACGTCGAATAGTCTTTGTCCCAAAATATGAAATATTTTCTCAGTTTTCAGTATATTTAAGTATGACCCAGGCGAAACAAATAATAAATTTATTACTAATCTATTCTAAATTTATTACTAATAATTTCTGTGCAGTGATATACCGAGGAGTTCCAAAAGAAAGTGACGATGTTATTATATACGGTTCGGTCACTCGTTATGGTCCGCAAGGGGTTAACAGCGCAACGTATCACACACGTCGAGTAGTCTTTGTCCCAAAATATGAAATATTTTCTCAGTTTTAAGTATATTTAAGTATAACCCAGGCGAAACAAATAATAAATTTATTGCTAATCTATTCTAAATTTATTACTAATAATTTCTGTGCAGTGATATACCGACGAGTTCCAAAAGAAAGATATTATTGTATACGGTTCGGCCATTCGTTATGGTCCGCAATCAGTTGCCAGCGCAACGTGGTTAACCTCTTGCGCTGAATGACGTGCCACGCACGTCGAAAATATTTTGTCCCAAAATATGCAACATTTTCTCAATTTTCAGTGTATTTAAGTATAACCCAGGCGAAACAAATAATAAATTTATTACTTCTTAATAATTTCGATCCAGCGATGTCACACCGACGAGTTCAAAAGAGAGAAAAAAAAGCGACGAATTATATGTATACGGTTCGGTCACTCGTTATGGTCCGCGAACCAGTTGACAGCGATGAATTATTATTACAGATGCAAAGTGCGTGTCGCTGCCGGACGACAAGAACGAAGGCCTCACGGTGATCCGCGGCGACGAGGCCAGCGTTTTGGTACCGTTCAAGCAGAACGTCACCCTAAAGTGTGGCAGCAACGGCCGGTACCTGCGAAACACGGCCACGTCGGGCTTCCGTCAATGCGTGTATGACCCGAAACCAGGCCTGCCAGACTATTGGTTGTCGGGCTTTCAGCCAGCTTGTCCAAGAGCGGACTGTGGGAAGCCTCTTCCAACGCCTGGCGCCGAGTACGGCCAATATTTGGACACCAAGTACCAGTCGTCCTTCTTCTTCGGCTGTCAGGACACCTTCAAACTGGCCGGCCAAACGAATCGTCACGACAACGTGGTCAGGTGTCAGGCGAATGGTATCTGGGACTTTGGCAACCTTCGATGCGAGGGTCCCGTTTGCGAGGACCCCGGACGACCGAGCGACGGCTTCCAGCTGGCCAGAAGCTACGAGCAAGGTTCGGAGGTTCAATTCGGTTGCAGCAGACCTGGGTACATTCTGATCAATCCTCGGCCGATCGTGTGCGTCCGAGAGCCAGAGTGCAAGGTGGTGAAACCTCTTGGTCTGGCGTCCGGTCGGATCCCGGACTCGGCCATCAACGCCACCTCCGAGAGGCCGAATTACGAGGCGAGGAACGTTCGCCTGAACTCGGTGACCGGCTGGTGCGGCAAGCAAGAGGCGTTCACGTACGTGAGCGTCGATCTCGGCCAGGTTTACAGGGTGAAGGCGATTTTGGTGAAGGGGGTGGTGACCAACGACATCGTCGGCCGGCCAACGGAGATCCGGTTCTTCTACAAGCAGGCGGAGATCGAGAACTACGTCGTCTATTTTCCCAACTTCAATCTGACGATGCGGGACCCGGGTAATTACGGGGAATTGGCGATGATCACGTTGCCCAAGTACGTCCAAGCTCGGTTCGTCATTCTTGGGATTGTTAGCTACATGGACAATGCGTGTTTGAAGTTCGAACTGATGGGTTGCGAGGAACCAGTGACGGAACCGTTGTTGGGATACGACTACGGGTTCTCGCCTTGCGTGGACAACGAGCCCCCGGTGTTTCAGAATTGCCCTCAGCAGCCGATCGTTGTGCAAAAGGGCGCCGACGGTGGATTGCTGCCGGTGAACTTCACCGAACCGACGGCCATCGACAACAGCGGCAGTATCGCGCGATTGGAAGTAAAGCCTCACAGTTTTAGAACGCCGTTGAGAGTGTTCCAGGACACCGTGGTGAAGTACGTGGCGTTCGATTACGACGGGAACGTGGCTATCTGCGAGATCAACATCACCGTGCCTGGTAAATGATAGATTCTCTGCTTTTGTCTCGCGATTTTCACAAATTTTCAACGATCCTGCTTGTTGTCCGTTCACAGACGTAACGCCACCGAAACTAAGCTGTCCCCAGAGCTACGTCATCGAGCTGATTGACAAGCAAGAGAGTTACTCGGTGAATTTCAACGAAACGCGGAGAAGGATCAACGCCACGGACGTTTCGGGGCCTGTGAAGGTCACATTCGTCCCGGAAAGGGCGTTGATACCGGTTGGAGGCTTCGAGAACGTCACCGTTTACGCGACAGACGCCAGCGGCAACAGAGCATCCTGCCACTTCCAGGTGTCCGTTCAAGCAACGCCTTGCGTCGACTGGGAGCTGAAACCACCGGCCAACGGAGGATTGAAGTGCGTCCCCGGTGACAAGGGTGTTCAGTGCATTGCCACTTGCAAGAACGGTTACCGATTTACCGACGGCGCGCCGGTAAAAACGTTCACCTGCGACGTTGTCAAACACTGGACCCCTTCGTCCGTGGTCCCCGACTGTGTCTCGGAAAGTGGGTACCATTTTAATTTTCATTTTCGTTTTTAAACGCTAGAAGCGTGCGGCGAAGAGCATAATTGTAGACCAGTGACAATGAAAATCTTGTGGATGATACAAATTTGTAAAGAAAAGATCACATGACGATCCACTTGGTCTCGTTTGAAGTTCGTTTTTCTTTTCTTTTTTTTTTGAGATGACTTTACGTCACATAGTAATAGGTGAAAAGGCATTGAAAATTTCTTTTAGGAGATTTTCGATTAGATCTACCATCGTTTTGAAGATTGAAGTTTTCACTTTGCAACGATTCCCTGATACACAATTTTTTCTATACTGTTCTGTTGAACGTTGAGTATTATTGGCGTCAAACGACAGAAACTCTGGAAATCACGGTACTTTGTCATCCGAGCCCTAATGTTTTCCTCGACAAAATGGCGACGATTTAAGAAGTCGTTGCAAAATTCTCGATCTTCGAGACTATGGTGTGAAGTCAATCGTGAAAACAATTTCTAATATTTTTACACGCGTTTGGATTTCTACAATTTTCATGGAAAATGTGTCCCACCCATGCACGTAATATAGTCAATCTTCGGGAGAAAAACAAACTCAGTTGAAGTCAGCTTAAACTGTCGATAACTTTTCTCTTGAAAAGTCGAAAGAGCGAAACTCGAGAATGGATTGAGAGTTTCTGCAATGTGTTTCGCAGATACGCAACAGGCAAACTATCACGTGGTCGCGGCAGTGACATACAGAGCGAACGGTGCCGTTTCGAGGTCTTGCCTGCCGCAGTATCAGGATCTCATGTCCCAGTATTACACGAACCTGAACAGTATCTTGACGCAACGTTGCTCCGCCGTGAACGTGAACATGAACGTGTCGTTCGTGAGATCGGTGCCGTATCTCATCGAGGAAAACGTTTTGAAGGTAATTGAAGAGTGGAACTAACGGTGGGTTCAGTTCCATTTCTGTGAACAGATTTTCACGAACGATGCGTATTTCAGATGGACTTCATTCTCGTCATCGTGCCAGCTATACGTCAACCGCAGCTGTACGATCTCTGCGGTTCCACGCTGAATTTGATCTTTGACCTGTCGGTTCCATCGACCAGCGCGGTGATAGAACCTCTGTTGAACGTCTCTGCCATCGGGAATCAATGCCCACCTCTTCGAGCTCTAAAGTCGTCCATCACTCGAGGCTTCACTTGCAGCATCGGCGAGGTTTTGAACATGGACACCAACGACGTACCACGATGTTGTGAGTAGCAGCAGTAGTATGTGTCTCTCGACGAAGCTTCGATATTAAATCTCTCTCAATTTCCATCTGCAGTGCACTGTCCAGCGGGGACGTTCGCCGGCGAGAAGCAGAAGCAGTGCACGTCTTGTCCCAAAGGCTTCTACCAGAACAGCGATCGCCAAGGATCGTGTTTGCGCTGTCCTTTCGGCACGTACACGCGAGAGGAAGGTTCCAAGAGTATAGACGATTGTATACCGGTTTGCGGGTACGGCACGTACTCGCCTACGGGTCTCGTGCCGTGTCTCGAGTGTCCCAGGAACAGTTACACGGGCGAACCGCCGGTCGGTGGCTACAAGGACTGTCAGACTTGTCCGGCAGGGACGTTCACCTATCAGCCGGCTGCACCGGGTCGGGATCGGTGCAGAGTCAAGTGTTCACCGGGCATGTACTCCGACACGGGGCTGGCTCCCTGTGCACAGTGTCCCAAGGACTTCTTCCAGCCACAACACGGGGCCACCACCTGCGTCGAGTGTCCGACGAACATGTACACCGATGGTCCAGGCGCGGTCGGTCGAGAAGAATGCAAGCCGGTGCAGTGTACCGACAGCGTGTGCCAACACGGTGGCTTATGCGTGCCGATGGGCCACGGTGTCCAGTGCCTCTGCCCCGCCGGTTTCTCCGGAAGGCGTTGCGAGGTCGACATCGACGAGTGTGCGTCCCAGCCTTGTTACAACGGAGCCACGTGCATAGATTTGCCTCAGGGTTACAGGTGCCAGTGCGCCAACGGGTATTCCGGGATCAATTGTCAGGAGGAGAAGTCGGACTGTTCGAACGACACGTGCCCCGAGAGGGCGATGTGCAAGGACGAGCCTGGGTTTAATAACTACACGTGCCTCTGTCGATCTGGGTACACCGGTGTCGACTGTGACATCACCGTGAGTGTTTGCTTCTTCTGCTCGTTTTCGCGTAATTTTAATTGATGAAAAAAGAAAAAAAAAAAAAATGAAATTCTTTCAATCGGTTTGCAGATAAACCCTTGCACAGCCAGTGGAAACCCTTGCAACAACGGGGCCACCTGCGTGGCGTTGCAGCAAGGCCGTTACAAGTGCGACTGTTTGCCAGGCTGGGAGGGCCAGAGCTGCGAGATCAACACGGACGACTGTGCCGAGAGGCCGTGCCTGCTAGGGGCTAATTGCACGGACCTGATAGCCGACTTTAGCTGCGACTGTCCACCAGGATTCACTGGCAAACGGTGCCACGAGAAGATAGATCTGTGCTCGGGGAACCCTTGCCTGAACGGGATATGCGTGGACAATCTGTTCAGCCACGAGTGCATCTGTCATCCTGGATGGACCGGCGCGGCTTGCGAGACCAACATAAACGAATGTTCCGGCAAACCTTGCAGGAACAACGGCCAGTGCATCGATCAGGTCGACGGGTACACGTGCACCTGCGAGCCAGGCTACACGGGCAAACAGTGTCAACACACTATCGACGACTGTGCCTCCGATCCTTGCCAAAACGGTGGGACCTGCGTCGACCAGTTGGAGGGGTTCGTTTGCAGGTGCAGGCCGGGCTTTGTCGGACTGCAGTGCGAGGCAGAATTGGACGAGTGTCTCAGCGATCCGTGCAGCCCGGTTGGAACGGATCGTTGCGTCGACTTGGACAACACTTTTGTCTGTCACTGTCGCGAAGGTTACACTGGATCGTCGTGTGAGATCAACATCGACGACTGCGCCTCGGATCCTTGTCTAAACGGCGCCACGTGCAGGGACGAGGTGGGCGGATTTAAATGCATGTGCCCCGAAGGTTGGACCGGGATTCATTGCGAGATCGACGTCGGCATGTGCCAGAATCATCCCTGCCAGAACGACGCGGCGTGCGTGGATCTGTTCATGGACTACTTCTGCGTGTAAGTACAAAGAGCAGAGCAGCGTGACAATTCGTGGTTGGTTGATACGTGGCCACATCTTGTTATCGTTTGTGATCGTTTGATTGTATCTTTCGACAGATGCCCGTCAGGAACGGATGGCAAACAGTGCGAGACCGCGCCAGAACGTTGCATCGGCAATCCCTGCATGCACAACGGACGCTGCCAGGACTTTGGGTCCGGGCTCAATTGCACCTGTCCCGACGACTACACTGGAATCGGGTGTCAGTACGAGTACGACGCTTGCCAGGCTGGCGCGTGCAAGAACGGAGCCACGTGCGTCGACGAAGGGCCTGGTTTCACTTGTATCTGCCCGTCGGGATACACAGGTGAATTGTTTTGAAAAAAAATTGCAAAAGTTCGAGTGCGTGTAACCGCTCTGTTGTAAATATTACGTAGGGAAAACGTGCGAGGATGATATAATCGACTGCAAAGAAAATTCGTGTCCACCGTCGGCGACGTGTATCGATCTTACCGGCAAGTTCTTCTGCCAGTGTCCTTTCAACTTGACCGGCGACGATTGCAGAAAATGTACGTATACGTTTTTCAATGGAAAAGAAAGAATTTTGAATTGTGCGTAATTGTAGTAATATATATATATATTTTTTTTTTTTTTTAGCCATTCAAGTGGATTACGACTTGTACTTTAGCGATCCGGTGCGTAGCAGCGCGGCCCAAGTGATTCCGTTCTTCACTGGCGCAAGAAAGAGCCTAACGGTGGCCATGTGGGTGCAGTATACTCAGAAAGACGAGGTTGGAATATTCTTCACTCTTTATGCAGTGAGGTAAATGTTAATCTAGTATCAGCTATTATTTTCAATTCCCGTTTTGTCGAAATTGACGGAAAATTAATCAACGGGAATGGACAATTTAATTTAACTGTTTCAGCTCTCCGCACGTTCCTACAAACAAACGACTTATGATCCAAGCACACAGCAATGGAGTCCAAGTGTCGCTGTTCCACGATTTGCAAGACGTTTATCTCCCGTTCAGGGAATACGCGACGATTAACGATGGCCAGTGGCATCACGTTGCCGTGGTTTGGAACGGTGAAAACGGCGGCGAATTGGTCTTGATAACGGAAGGTCTGATCGCCAGCAAGACGGAGGGTTACGGAAGTGGAAGATCCCTTCCCGCTTAGTGAGTACTTTGCCTCAATCTCCACACTTGCGATTAGTTTTTTTGTTCAAGTTAACACAAGTTTAACATTGTTAAATCACACGTTTTCAGCGCTTGGGCGGTGCTGGGTAAGCCGCAGAGCGAGAACACGAAAGGCTACACGGAATCAGGCTTCCAAGGCCACCTGACGAAAGTTCAGATCTGGAGTCGAGCATTACACGTGACGAACGAGATTCAGAAGCAGGTGCGCGACTGTCGCACCGAGCCGGTCCTTTACCAAGGTTTGGTACTCACTTGGACAGGCTACGACGACACGGTCGGAGGAGTGGAGAGGGTCGTGCCGTCGCACTGCGGCCAGAGAGTATGTCCACCGGGATACGGTGGCACCAAGTGTCAACAGCTGGAGTCCGACAAGATTCCGCCGAAAGTGGAATACTGTCCAGGCGATCTCTGGGTGATCGCCAAGAACGGCTCGGCGATAGTCAGCTGGGACGAGCCGAAATTCGTCGACAACGTCGGCATCGCGAGGATCCAAGAGAAGAACGGGCACAGATCGGGGCAGACGTTGATGTGGGGGACGTACGATATCAGTTACGTGGCATACGATCAGGCCGGGAACTCTGCCAGCTGCAACTTCAAGGTCTACGTGTTGTGTAAGTGCCGTGTATACACGTGTTCGGGTTCTAATTTTGAAGCGGACCGAGTGGCAGCTGCCGGAAATCGGCATGTTTGCGTAAATTCCCGACATTTTCTGTCTCTTTTAGCCGACTTCTGCCCAGAGTTGGCGGATCCGATCGGTGGGACGCAGCAGTGCAAAGACTGGGGCTCCGGCGGTCAGTTCAAGGTATGCGAGATCTTCTGCAACCCGGGACTGAGATTCTCCCAGGAAGTACCGAAATTCTACACCTGCGGCGCTGAAGGTTTCTGGAGGCCGACCAACGATCCGTCCCTTCCCCTGATCTATCCAGCTTGCACGAGTAAGTTCAACTAGGTTTAATCAAATTCAACTAAGTTTGACCAAGTTTAGGCAAGTTTAACCGAGTTTAGACAAGTTTAACCAAGTTTGGGCAAGTTTAACCAAGTTTGGGCAAGTTTAACCAAGTTTGGGCAAGTTTAGCCAAGTTTAACCAAGTTTAACTAATAATAAGTTTAACTAAGTTTAGGTAAGTTTAATCAATTAACTAACAATAAGTTTAACCAAGTTTAGACAAGTTTAACCAAGTTTGGGCAAGTTTAACCAAGTTTAGGCAAGTTTAACTAAGTTTAACCAAGTTTAGATAAGTTTAACCAAGTTTAACCAATAATAAGTTTAACTAAGTTTAACCAAGTTTAACTAATAATAAGTTTAACTAAGTTTAGGTAAGTTTAACCAATTAACTAACAATAAGTTTAACTAAGTTTGACCAAGTTTAGGTAAGTTTAACTAAATAACCAAGTTTAACTAAGTTTAACCAAGTTTAATTAAGTTTAACCAAGTTTAACCGAATTCCGTCTTTCTTCTCCATTCACTTTTCTTCCTCAAACGACAAACCGTCGCGTACATTGTCCAGGTGCCACGCCAGCGCAACGCGTGTTCAGAATCAAAATGAACTTCCCAACGTCGGTGCTGTGCAACGAGGCTGGGCAAGGCGTGCTCAAGAAGAAAGTTCGAGACGCGGTGAATTCTCTGAACAGAGACTGGAACTTCTGTTCGTACTCGTACGAAGGTGAGTCGTAGGTGTTTCAAGTGTCGTTGAAGACGATGTCAAAAACGTACCAACATTTTGTCGTGTTTCTTGTAGGAACTCGCGAGTGCAAAGACCTGCACATCGACGTCCAATGCGATCACCGGGTACGCGCGACCAGGGACACGAACGAGGAGGACGGTGGAACGTACATAATCTCCGCGGTAGTACCAGCTGAACCGTAAGTACAATGTATCTGTTCTCGTTGTTGAATTTCAAACGAAGAGAAATCGAAGCTTCCATTTCAAACGGATGTTTATCACGTTGGAAATTGGAAAAAAAAAAAAGTAGCGTGAAAGACAAATAACCGCGAAACAGCTTCGACAAATTCAATTCAGATAGAACATGTGTTGAGAACGATTGGTACTTAGCTTGATTTGTTACTTGTGTTGCATCGTAGAACGAGACAAGCTCGGCAAGGAAGCGATACCTACGAGGTGGAGATCTCGTTCCCGGCGATAAAGTAAGGACACAGAGAATCTCGATCTAACCCACGTGCGAAACGTATCATTGTACACATGTGTTCTCGTCATTCGGGGCTCGGTGTTATCCGACGTTCATCCATGTTGCATCGAGCATCTTACCATCTCGAGCGAATAAAAAAAAAAAACCGTGGATGCATGAATCGTACATAGAGGAACAATGATCTTGCTCTTTATCATAACGTTACTAAACTCGAACTAATTGGACTAAGCTGGAGACCCAGGCTGCCTCTTCTAAAACGACGGGGACAACAACTTTCTCCCTCCTCCGTCAGAGGATGTGTATTTATAAGAATAGAATCGAGCGGCGGTCGATTTTAATAAGTCGTCGAAGCCGACTCTAACCGATAATGTACAACGTAAACGCTAGTATGCACGTCTATTACTAACTGTTTCACACACGTACACACACAGACAGACTAGTTGAATGGGACGCTTAACTAGGAATCAACGAACAACGATAATGGAATAACAACGTAACCAAGCTGTTGGGTTAAATGGGATTGGTACTTAAAATTTCGCTTGAAACATTTAGCGAAACGTGAAATCCAGAAAAATCTCGGGTGTTTAATGTTGATCAGAATCTGTTAACTGTCCTGCGTACCGAACAGCTTCGGTTCACGACATTAACAAGACGACTAAACGACACTCTGCCTCAGACATGTAATACGTTAGAATTTCAGAATGTGTTGGACATTAAACATTACGTAGGTACGTGAATTAATTTTGGTGTCGATGATAGGCAACGTGTCACTGGCCAGGAACCAATGGAAAGGCTGCCTGATTACCTTCGCCTTCAGATAACGGCTGTACATACTTGCGCCTTTTTATCTCTCCTTTTGCCTGCCGCTAGATCACTCCCGTCCATGTACCTTTCCAGCTTTGTCAATTGAACTTCGTCTTTTGTAGCGATCCGATTTTGAACGCGAACTCAAACGAGAGAGCGACCGTTCAGACTCTGTTGGAGAGGCTGATCCTGGAGGAAGATCAGTTCGACGTTCACGACATCCTGCCAAATACAGTGCCGGATCCGGCCTCGTTGACGCTCGAGTCCGACTATGACTGTCCCGTGGGCCAAGTCGTTATGGCACCCGATTGCGGTATGTCTTTTCAAATGTCCCGTTATTGTTGTGTCAGGCCACTGTCGAATTTGACAATTGACTTCAATTGCAGTGCCTTGCGCCGTGGGAACGTATTACGACGAAGAAACGAAGCAGTGCCTGTCCTGTCCAGTGGGAAGCTACCAAAGTGAATCGGGTCAATTGAAATGCAGTTCCTGCCCGGTGATCGCTGGACGACCAAGCGTCACCGTAGGCCCAGGCGCTCGTAGCGCCGCCGACTGCAAAGAACGATGCCCCGCGGGGAAATATTACGACGACCTGGCTGGCCTCTGTCGAAGTTGCGGCCACGGTTTTTATCAACCTAACGAGGGTAGTTTCTCCTGTTTGCTGTGCGGTTTGGGGAAAACCACCCGAACGGCGGAGGCCGTGTCCCGAGAGGAATGCAGGGACGAGTGTGGCTCTGGACAGCAACTGGCCGTGGAAGGAAAGTGCGAGCCTTGTCCAAGGGGAAGTTACAGAACGCAGGGTGTCCAAGCTGCCTGCCAGTCGTGCCCCGTCGGCCGAACCACACCCAATATGGGCTCCGCGGCGATAGAAGAGTGTTCTCTGCCAGTGTGCGAACCTGGAACGTATCTGAACGGAACGCTGAACGAGTGTATGGAGTGCAAGAAAGGAACGTATCAGTCGGAGCCGCAGCAGACCTTCTGCATACCATGCCCCCCTAACACCAGCACCAAAGGAACGGCTGCGGTGAGTTGCGCGTTATCTTTGCTCGCTATGATTGCTTCTCTCAAGCAGTACTCACTTTGACTTTTAAGTGAAAAAAAATATCAACCGTCCTTGACAAGTTCTTGAAAAGAGAACGACATTGAGAAAGAATATTCTCAAGTCGTTGGTCTCAGTCGTTGGTCTTTCGATAGCATTCGTGTTGAGTAAAAAAATATTCCAGTCGCGAAAATTCAGAAAGATGCTCAAGTGAAATGATTTTCTACGATTCTACGACAGAATTTCGTTTCGTTTTGCGTCAAAATGTTTTGTAAAACGTCGGAAAGTAACAGACGTAGCAATGTCGAACGCAAACTTTTAAAATAAATTATTTCTCTGCCGAAATTACGAGGTTTCGTGTAAACTTGAGCAATTGTGTTTCAAGACGAGCAAAGCCGAGTGCACGAATCCATGCGAGACAAGCGACGCGGAGATGCACTGCGACGCGAACGCGTATTGCTTGCTGATACCGGAAACGAGCGACTTCAAGTGCGAGTGTAAGCCGGGATACAACGGGACCGGAACAGAGTGCACGGACGTCTGCATGGGCTACTGCGACAACGAAGGAGTGTGCCTGAAGGATTCGCGGGGGCAGCCATCTTGCAGATGTAGCGGAAGCTTCACTGGGAAACGATGCACGGAGAAGTCGGAATTTTTCTACATCACCGGCGGCATCGCTGGTGGAGTGATCTTAATCATTTTCGTCGTTCTTCTCGTATGGATGATCTGCGTTAGGTTGGTCGATCGATTATTTCCCTACGTTATACGAATCGCATTTATCTTTCTTTCAGACAGCGATCGAAATGCACGCGCTTCGAAAAGTTTGAAGTCAAAAATGATATTTCCACAGAGCGTCCAGAAAGAAGGAGCCGAAAAAGATGTTGACACCAGCGACAGATCAGAACGGTTCACAGGTGAACTTCTACTATGGTGCGCCGACACCGTACGCGGAATCAATCGCGCCGTCCCACCATAGTACGTACGCTCACTATTACGACGACGAGGAGGATGGCTGGGAAATGCCCAACTTTTACAACGAAACTTACATGAAAGGTGAGGATGAAAGCAGAACGCTGTAAGGAAGGAGCGTTCAGGAGTTCAGTTTTATAGTATTTTCACCATTTCTCGTTCTTTATTTTTATTTTTTCTTCTAGAGAGCTTACACAATGGCAAGATGAACAGTCTCGCGCGTTCCAACGCTAGCATTTACGGCACGAAAGATGACCTGTACGACAGATTGAAACGTCATGCGTATCCTGGCAAGAAAGGTAGGCACACCACTTCCGAATAAGCCTTTAATTAAATTTTATTAGTATGTATCTACGAATATTATATGGTCATCACACTAAGAAGTTGTTCCTCTAATTTTTCTGAGAAAACTTGAAAAAATATCCCCCTACGAGGTGTATTCCCTATTCTTTGTAGGATATTTAAACATTTCTCACATCACTAAAGATAAAAGAGGCACTACAAGTACCACAAGCTTGTTATATAATTGTCTAGATAATGCGACGATGGTCCCTACGACCATAATTTTTTTTTTTATATCTCTAAAGGTCAAGTTGCAATAGGTCGTTGAGTTCGTCTTGACGTCATTTTAATAGCATCGTATTAATAGAAATGACGGAGAAGGAGAAGTGAATTCCACATTTTACCCATTCTCCAAAACAATCCGGGGATCAGTCTATGGGTCCCACGCGAGTCAACGAAAAGTTTTCTAAATAATTACCACAGTCACTTTCAATTCAGACTATTTTTATGGGGTATATAATATTAAATATTAAGTTAAACTTAATTAAATTTAATCTTAATTTATTTATCTAATAAATTGGAATTATATTCTAATTAGATTAGAATATTAGAATAGATTGTATTAGAATTTTGAAAAATCTACTCTTTTTTTTTTTTTACACTCTACGACAAGCTCAACGTTATATATATATATTAAAGAGAGGCAGGCTACAAAATATATAATTTTATAAAAACCTGCTACGCCATAGAAATATCTATGAAACATTGCTCTAAAACAAATAAAAAGAAAAAAAAAGTCATACACGACGTGCTGCACTCAATTTTTGTTCGTTTTATTTTTTCCTCAGAACCTCAGAAACTTAGAAACTTTTGAAGATTGAAGATTTCATGAGAAAAAAAAAAAAAAAGAGTATGTATGTCTAACGAGGTGCACAAATATTTTTCTAGACAAAAGCGACAGTGATAGCGAGGGCCAGTGACCACGGCGTTAAAACCAACGTTCTACCATCGTAGAATACAGAGAAGAAAGAAAGAAAGAAAGAAAAAGAAAAAAAATATATATCGATATCCTAATTACACAGATTTCACGAAGGATGTCCCGTCGTCGAAAAATCAATTTATTTATTACTCCCGAACGAGGATTGTACTGGATTGTGACTCGTTTTCGAGGGGATTCGTAGCTTTCGGTGTAGAAATGATCGAAATCGTGTATTTGCGCCGAATGTGGTGACACAATGGCGCGAAGTGATCGTTGCGTTGATCGGTGCGTTTATGAAGAAACCGAGACCGAGTCCTGAAACGACGATCCATCGTAGGATTTTTCAAAGTAGGATCGTTGTTTCGGCACACGGCACCGATCAACGGGATCGAAAGAACGAAACGATCGCAAAAAAGAAAAAAAAAGACTACTAAGCGTGAGATTGTAATTTTTTGTAATTTATAATACCACCTAGCCTATAGTTAAGGATTTTTTTTTTTAATTTTCTATTAACTCTCCACCTCTTTCTCTCTCTCTTTCTGTCTGTCTGTCTGTCTGTCTGTCTGTCTGTCTGTCTCCTACTGATTTATAATATAACGAAGCGCGTACGAGAGGAGCAAGTGTGTGCATGTGTTTGTTAATACAACTCCCTTCCCTTCCTCCAAATTTACCGTCCCTTTTTTTTATACATAAGCGAATTTATATTTTGTTACTATAAATATATGTATGTGTATCACACGCTCGCTGTAATATATAAAAATGCGTTGCATGTAGGCGAACTCGTGTAAACTAAACGAGGAAACGAAACAATCAAAAAAAAAGAAAGAAAGAAAGAAAGAAAGAGAAGAAAGAGATGAAACGAACGATACCAAGAACTGATCGCGAATGTACATTGAACCATGCCTACCAACCTGTTTTCCACTTGTACTTGTAAAAACTTTAACAAGCAGTTGTTTTTTTTTTTTATTAAATAAAATATATTACAAGACGCCGCGTTCTTGTTATTTATCCTTTCGTTCCGGATTTTTATTAATCAAAGTTCCATTGAATATCTTTTCATCGTCATTTTCGCGTTTATGTCACGGCAATATGTACCGTTCTTCTTCTTTTCAATTATTTACTCTTTCGTTTAAGTGGATTTTCATTGGTCAGAGTTGAACGTTTCGATTCGAATATTTTCCCATCCAATTTTAGAGGGATCACTCTGTACATCTTCTCCTCGAACTCGAAATCACTCCAGACATCGTTGCGCGCATCTGGCTTCAAGTGTTTTCGCGTGTTTCCCACGTGATCGTCGTAGAATTTGTTTAAGCGAAAAATCGTGTCGCAGTGCCGCCCGTTTCCAAAATTCTGTTCGCCTTCGTCAGTGTCGGAATAAGTTTCGCCGTTATCTTCGACATCTGATTCATCCGAGCTGATAATGTAGTCGTCCTCGGTTTCATAGTTTGCCGATTCTATCGTCGGGCAAATAAATTTATTATAGAAAGAAGATAATACGATTTGAACAGGTTCGTGAATCATGTACCTTCCAGAGAATTTCTTGTCATTAGTTCTAATAGCAACTGAAAATATTCAAGCCACTTATTGTTGTTTCGTAATTACGACAATTATCGTGTTACCTTTACGTAGTTCGTGAAATCCGCGGAATCTGACTTGTGCATTGCGAGTTATGTTTGTGTTTCACAGATGTAAGATCGCTCGGAGTTAATTGATTAAATATCTTGTATTCAACATTTTCCTTTACTGTCGTGAGAATATTGTATTTGATGTTTTCATTGTAATTTTGGTTGGATTTGATAGGTCCATTGCAGGAGCAACGATGAATGTTTGGTCGATAGAATAGTTCATTGTTTCGATTCCAAGTATTTCGATATATATTTAGCGCAGGCGTTCCAAAGTGCAAAATTTTAAATAATCTCTGTCACAAGTTTCCAAGAAGTCGCATCGTAATTATATTAATTTTCTAATTAATTACGAAATTATGTAATACCGAATGTATTTAAAACACATATTCAGAATCTTCTATACATTTAACACTGACATAATTGCTTCGTTATTTAAGTGTAATTAATCGCAATAAATAATATTTGCATCTTTTATCTCATGTTGTATGATTATATCAATTGTATGATTATATGTACGATATGTTAAATTGTTTTTTTTTTTTTCAATTTTATACATTCCTTTAAACCCAACGTAATATAGAAAATAAATAAATACTATTAATAAACAAAGTGATGATAGTCACGAATGAAAATGTTGCGTAGTTCCAAACATCATACCACGACAGTCACGTGTATACGTAACGCATGCCATCAACTCCATCTAGTAACACGTTGCGCTCTTCGCGGAGGAATTGATTCACTCCAACGATAAAGTTGTTGCATTAATGCAGCGTATTCCAAAATAAATCGTGTGCCGCGCACAAAGAAAGAAAAAAAGGAGAAACACGATGCATTGCATTTTTATGTAACAGATATATCGTCACGTAACGTGATTATTGTTCCGATGTCCTCGCAATGAGACTACATTTTTACGTCATCTGACTGTTCCAACATTACATGTCACTAGAAGAACGACGCAAGTACTTGGTAACTTTTTGTTCAGCTAGCAGTATGCAATAATGTCATCTTCCATCCCATCAGAAATTTTCTCAACATCGTTATAAGATACGAATCTGGCAGAATTTCGCTCGCGGAACGAGTTGCGAGAGTCGAAAAGTGGAAAAGTACGATTATCGACTGGAACGAACTCCCATATCGGGTCTCCGTCTGACGTGTCAAACTTTTCCCCATTGCAGCGTTCTTTTGCAACGATTGGTTACCGGTTTGCACATCGACGCTCCGATTGGTTCAAAGTGACGTGCCCGAATATCCGCCGGCCAATCGAAAGGAACGTTCAAACCGCGTTGTACCGTGACGTGTTTAATCCCGCACTACCGACGTTCCAGCTCGCATTCCGCGAAGAAGGTTCGGCGAGGTGCGCCAGTGAGGACGGTTAGTGCTTGAGCTGCGTGAGAGATCGTTTAGATACACGAATTAATAACACGTATTCCACGAGGAAGTTGGAATCGCCCGTATATAAAACAGTTCGCGCGTTCCAAGTGGAAGGTACAACAACAACACCCATTGTCGCAGGGAGGGTGAGTGAGAATTTCAATTTATTGTGCCTCTGCCTGTGTTAGACGTCTCGACTGTACTGTCTAACCGTATTATATAATCATAGATCGAGTTAATTCTGTCGTTTATCGAACTGGCAGTACGTGAAATTACGTCGCAGCTAGCAAGCAGTGCGAATCGATCGGACGTCGTAGCGCTCGTCTATATGTACATCTTCAGCTATCGTGCGAAATATAGTATTCCAGAACGTTCTCAGTCGCGTTTTATACGCCGTGTACGAGCCACGCGACTGATTTCCTCCGTTTTCTGCGCAAATTCGCTCTCCGTGGCACGACGTTGCACGAACGATTAGTACGGTAACGTGAGCCGGTTTGCGAAAATTCAGTCACATGCGTTGAGACCGTATCTGGTTACGTAACGAGGTTAGTGTTTGCAACGTAGAATGAACGTTCCCCGTCCCTGTCCATCCCTAGAAGTGGGAAAATAACGATGGCATGTCGATTGTTATCGATGGTCTTTTTTATGACAATCGATAGCCTTGATATTTTTATTTTCTAATTACCTGTATCGAGTATTAAAAAAAATGTCTAACATAACATAACATAATTCGTATCAAAATGTTCGCCACGTATACTTAGAGTACAGATAAATTGTTATCTTTATTTTAATCTTAAAGCAAATGTTCGATATCCCTTTGAACCTCAAAAAAATTTCGCCTTCTAGATTTTCATTTTTGCGATATAATATCGCGTATTTTTATCGATTAAGAATTGATTAATTTGTTGATTGGTTGGCAACCAAACGTCTCGCGATAAGCAAACATGTTTTCTAAATTAAAATAGTAAAAATTGCGAACATTTTTACTGTAAGGTCGTACAGTATATAAAAGTTGTACAGTAAACTAACAGTTGTAATTTTTAAATCTTACAGAAATAATAATAAAAATAATTATCAGTGGTTATGGCTATCAATGTTTCTCCACCTCTTTCCCATTAGATAAATAATGTATTGAAAAATGAGGCGGCTAGATGATAAACTTGGCTGCTGCGTTCACGCGGAACGCGATTGGCTTGATATTTGAACGAATTTGAACACGTCCGACTATCGAATCGCACTCATTGGATAATGCTGATCAAGTAACTAAATATACTAAACGTTCAGTCCATGAATTGATAAGTAATCGTTGAAAAAACAAAAAAAAAAAAAATACCGTGCGTGTTTTACGTATACTTAAACATAATGTTGCATGCATATACGTGATAATAACAATAAGTATTCTTTGAAATATACTTCTTTACGCTCTCTTTGAAATATATTTTGGTATAAATTTGAATTATATTGCATAAGGAGGGAAACGTTTAGTTTTTTTAATTACGTAATATTGTATTTATATTTATTTTGTATTTTCATACTTTATGTTTATAGACGTTATATTAAACTACTAAACTTTTCTGATTTTTGCCAACAGATTTGCCTGAATATGGTATACCTGGTTTAAACATCTGTGTTTTCAAAAAAAAAAAAAAAAAAAGAAAATTCTGCTGATTTCTTTGTCTGCAAAGAATTGAGCTCCAATATTGTGTTTAATACTATTTCTTATATGATCCCCTTAACGCACAGAAAACATCTTCCCCAAAAATCATAAACTTCGTTATCATGATAAATTAGCATTTTGTTGGTTGGTAATCAGGTTTTACAAATAGAATTGTGGATATTTTTTATCTGTGTATAAATTTTGTATTTTATAGCATTAACAGTAAGGTCATTTAGTCAGTTTAGATTTTCTTAGTATTTTATTAGAAAAGTATCCTTCTTCTACCTAATGGAATCACAAATCACTGTGCGAGATGTCCTAATATGTCATAATATCGTAGAAATATTAATTTTTTTCATAGGTATCCAAAATCCCTCCTGTTTACGAACGCCCAACGGCCAGCAACATTTCATTTGAGAAAGGAGGCGTATTTAACGTATGTGTCCTCTTGGTGTTAATCCAAGACCCCGTTGACAAACCCAAGCTGATAATAAAATTTTAAGGAAATAAAATTCTAGGTTTCAAAGTCATGCAATCGTCAGCCGCGTCTGTCATTTGCTTCTCGTGGCGTGAGATCGTGGCCACCCGAGGAAGAGTCTTCACGCATCGATACAGTTCCTTTGCTGACCCCAACCATGGAGACGGAGTTGTTAAACGAGCCATGGGTATTCCCACAGTCAAAGACAAATGTTACCAAAGAAGACGAGAAAGCAACATCCTCCATATGGGAGGAGAACTTTCAGGATTTAAGCAGTTACATGGATCCGTTCCAGGGTCAATGCGATTTTCATACAGGTGAATCACCCACTTTTAAACTATCAGGTCAGTATAGTCATATCTCACTGGTCACGGAAACATTTCTATTAAAAAAAAGGTGCATGTTGTCTTTTATTTTGGCACTGTAATGTGTTTCAGGTACGAAATACGAGGGTAACAGCGTTTTGTCTTCACAAGAGGGGGTATTGAAAGATTTGATGAGTGTAGCAGACGAAGAAAAGTGGAGCGCGAAAATGAACAACGTTGGGACAACCGAGCATTTGAACAACAGTTGTCACAGCTTGCAATCTGTGTCAAATGTATCTAGCAAACATGAAAAAAAAGATAGTCCAGCAGAATCAAACACATCCAACTTGTGGTTAAAAGTATCAAAAGGATCAACAACTACTGTAAATACAAGTAAACAGAATGACACAGATGTTAGTACACCATTCCAATCGAGATATCAGATAGAGGAAATTGACTTGAACGATGCTTGCCCGACTTCGTTCGATTCCACAGAGAATCAACGTGAAACATGGGATATGTTACGAACAGTCGAAACCACTGGATCGGACACGTTCGATTTGTTGTCGTACCTTTGCGATGTAAGTTGACGCGTATAATTCTTCGAATCTATGAAAAAGGACTAATACCATGTATGCAGCCGATCAAAGAATCGGATTCAAGAAAATAACGTGTACTCTGTGTTGTAGGATGAAATGCATTCTCCGGAAGGTAGCGTTTCAACAGATTCTTCGGTATTATCGAAACCATGGTCGCCTTCCAAATTATCCACAACGATTCCACAAGCTAGTATGAAAGTGAAAACGGAGAAAAACGAGACTGTCGTCCCAGAGTGCACAAAAAATCGAACAGCAGCGTCAACAATAACTTCGTCTTCTATGGAGACTCCAGTAGTAGGAACAGAACGAACGAGGAGAGCAGAACGAACGAGGATATCGGTCAACAGCAAAATAGAGAAACCTTACAGCCGAGCGCGACGGGTGAAGGCAGTCCGAAAACGTTACACAGAGTCCGATTCGGACGATCGAACGTTCGTTTCGCATTATCGAGAATCTAGGGAGAAGAACAACGAAGCCTCAAGGAAATCACGTATGAATAAAAAAGCGAAAGAAACTGAAATGGCGAAGAAAGCGATCGAATTGGAACGGGACAATAGGATATTGAAGATGAAAGTCGAGGAACTCGAAAAACTTGTAACATCAATGCGCAGTGCGTTATTGAGATCCGCTTTAAAGAAAGAATTCTAAAAAGCGTTTCTTGTACTTGTTTAGAATGTTCATTGTGCGCTGGTTATCGCGCAAAATGATGTACTTCTCCTTTCCACTGTTTTTTTTCCTTTTTTTTTTTTTTTTTTTTTTTTAATGTTTTCTATCTGTTTTGTTGTATAAGAAGAGAATATATATATATACAGATGAACAGATATACGAATATTCACGCAATGAATGAATTTGAATTATATTGTTATATTCAATTAATCTCTTTTTTTATTTTATTTTCAATCGTTTATTTAAAGAAAATTGTTGAACTCTACATATGTATAATTTTATGTCACCGAAAGAGAAGGTGTATATGTTAACATTCTATGTAAGTGTTTCTTGCACAATATGTTTGTGTTTGTTATTTCTTTTTGTTCAAGGACATCTTATTGTTTTACAATGTTTGTAATGAGATTTACGTTCATGTAATTGAAGCGAACAAGCAGAGAAAAAAATATAAAAAATAAGATAAAGAGGCTGAAAATGGTGTAGTTTTCAGAACTTGTAATGGGGTAGTTTGTCCTTTTTATCGAAAAAAAAAAAAGATTACATAATCATATTTTGTTCAACCTTGTATTGTACCTGATAAGAAGTATAAATATAGAGGTCCGAACAAGATAAATTATGATCGGTAAGAATATAATTTTTTTACTGGCATGGGCACAATAGTGGCATGATGTATATTAATATTCGAATAAAGAATATGCTTCAAAATCTACCTCGTAGTGAAGAGAATTATTTTTGCAGACGAATGTAACCTAACGTGTTGAATAGTAAGGCATTTATATAAATTTAATAATTTCTATAAATTCTGTTTGCAAAGAAATCTTAATGTCTATAATGATTTCTTTGCGTGTATTTGTGGAAACATTACGAAGATGTTGTTCTATCATTAAGCAATGTAACACAATCGAAGCACTCAGAATTGTTTTTCCATCGCTTCAACAATGCTATGATGAATATTGAAAATTGTTTTATTTGCATGAAGATAAAAAATCGTACGTATAATGATTTTGGCATATAGATTACTGTGTAAGCTATGAATATATTGATATAGATCTTACATAATACTGTTCTATCTTGTAAATGCAATCATTTTTTTACTCTTATTTTAAGACATTCGAAAATATTCAAATTTTCCTAACCATATTTTAACTTTATACAAAATACGAGATGTATATTTTTATACTTTGTTTCATTTTATGTTTGCATGTTACATGTTAAACTGTGGAAAATATACTATCGGTTTATATTATGAAATATGTATACATTACAAATCCTACATTCTAAATGTGTAAAAAATTTGTTAATAAATACTATATCCTCCGAAAAATACAATCATTTTCATCGACCTGACTTAAATATAAAAAATTAAATTTATTAATTATTTATTAATTTATTAATTAAATTTATTATTAAGTTAATAAAAATTTATGTTTTTAATTTAAGCATTTAAAAGTTCAATAGAATTTTTAAATTTGAAAGAAAATTTTATAAATGAAGCGTTGCGACTTTTGAATTTTGAAAAATCCCGCCATGTTCAATAGTGGCGTCCATCTTGAATTGGATGGCGTGAATGCGAATATGGTTAAACATGAATTGCAGTTACTAATTACATTTTAAGTTGAATTTTAATAATTCATTAAATAAGCTTGCAATGCTAAAAGCTAGCTCACATTAATTTACATTTTTCAGTCAAATTTTTCACTACGTGTGTAACATTTAGAGTATAGAATTTCCAATAATTTCAAGCTTTATTATCCTTAAAGATACAATAAATACAATAATAAACTTACAGTCAATCAAGCAAGGCCGAAGTAGTCCAATTGCGTACTCGTCTGCCATTCCGTGGACGCAAATATCTCCATGATTTTCCAAAAATCTTCATCCATTAGTTTCTGCATACACACTACACATTCACGCATACATATATCATACTTAACTTATATCACACTTATATTATACGAAACCTCAGATAAATTTTCACCGCCGAATAAACCTCGTTTCAAGCTACTTGATCGCAAGTATCTCGTCTCTCTATTATCACGCGAAACACTATTATGAAACATTATAACGACGCGCGCGAACCGGCGGCGTTAAAGCACACGATTCGAAACTGCTGGCCGTTACGATCGAGCGCCAAACGCGACAGATGCGCGCGCATCGTTTCCTGCGCGGCGCGCTACCAGAGTTCAGTACGCTAGTAACAGGTGGTCCACGTTGATTGGTCGAGCAACGAGATTAGCAAAGGTTCGGTCGGGCAGCACGTGCAACCAGTCGCGCATTTACACGGAGAACGTGAACGCGCGTGTACCGTTTTTGAAAGTCGACTTTACCGATCGAAGATCAGTCTCTATCCGTGTCTGGCAACAGTCGCGAGCTTAAGCCGAAGAGCTTGTTTTCGCGAGCGCGAAACCGTCCGTATTGGTGGCCCGATACGTTCGTAGGTGCACGGGTGTTGGCTATCGATCCCGCTCGTCTCGATTTTCTGCATGTTCATTGGCGCCTCGGTTGCTAACAGTGCGTCGTATGGTACAGTGCGGGCACCGTTCGATCAGTGCTGTGGCCTTACGAGTTACGCTCAAGATATTTTGTGTAATTTTACCTGTTTCATCGATGTGATTCACCCTCGTGTCAACAGGAACTCGCGGTTCTCCAGCTTTTCTTTCGGTAAGCGGGCTCCGTATGTTACGCATTCTCTTTTTCAAATGGTATTTCTCAACGAGAGGCAAGTGTAGCTGCAATCGAGTGCACGTGTACGCGCGTGCATCGAATGCAAGTCGGTCACGTTAAGCCGGTGCTCCGTTCCATCTGGTGCAATTCGATTGCATCGAATGGGATGTATTGGGCGTGCGAGGGGGCTATAATTCCCTTTCGTGATTCATGCGGAGACAACTTACAACCACGCGCGTCTGTAACCACTTTCGGCAAATTTGTTTTTGCGCGACGGTGTGTACCAGTCTGGACAACCACTTGTCGCGCCAACCCATCTGTGACTCTATTTTCGCATTCTTTCTTTCGTGTTTATTTCTCCAATGACGTTCAATTCGTAGCACTACTCGAACAGAATTCACACATGCTAAATATATTGTCGAGCAATTTGTTTTGGAGAGATTCATTCATTTTATTTAACGACACATTGCCTCTCGATTTATGTGCATAATGTGCGAGTTTAGAGATATTTTCAACATTTTTTAAAACATTCTTCAGACTATTTCTAATAAATTATATCTATATATATAACAGTAACAATAAATTATATCTATATATAACTGTATTTAACACTAATCTTCTAATATAACTATATTTTTCACTAAACTATATCTAAGCTTGTTACTATTTTCTGAATGATAAGAATAGATATATTATACTATATATAATCTAATCTATTATGTATAATATTATGTATCTATTATGTATAATACAGTTTGTAATACAATGTAGTTTGCAATAATTTTACAGTACAATAATTTTAATAGTTTACAATAATTTTACAGTAGAATAATTTTAATAGTTTGTAATGTAATACAGTTTGTAACAATTCTTTGGCGCTAAATTTAAATGTGTCGTTTGGCAACGCGTCAATGTTTTTGGAATTTCTTTTCATATTATACTCGGTTATACCGAAATGGAAATGGACTTTCCGGGATAGATAGTGGGACATGCAGGCGTTTAATGGGAATGTGAAAACTAACAGTAATGATGATACCAGGTACCTTATGTGAAAGCTGAATGCGGGTAGGAGAGACGAGCTTTCGATTTAGTTTGAAAGCGTTAAAGGGCACGATCGGCATTACGTTAACGTAGATAAAATATTAATCGATGCTGTTTCAAAATGTTATCTATAACTCTTCCGCATACATTTGCATGCAAAAAAAGATATCAAATCTTTCACGTGTTTTTTAATCTGTTTTGTAGAATTGTAAAACGAGACGCGACAGATTTATTACGGTATAAATTCTATTTCGGGGCGTGATTTTTCCATTAAGCGAAAGTAGAAATTACGTGTATTATATTGACTAGGGTTTCTAATATTGGAGAAAAAAATTAGCCTTTTTATTTTAATTAAACTTTTCGATGGAAAGGATCAGTAACGAAATTGAAAAATTGTTGATACATCTAAGTAAGTTTTTGCGGTCGTTCCGAACTATCAAAGAGCGAGAAGTTTCTGTTTAAAAATTCCGAGTAAAAAATACAACGACATCGTACGCTTCGTTTGAACCGTAATTGAAGATATATATATCGCACTCCACGCTCGTGTTCATTCTGGAAAAAACGTTACCGCCCGTTATCTCGATCCTGCTATCGATCCAAGATACCTACGCACATGACACGTGCCTGCTAAATAAATGCCTTTCATTAAAGTAATTGGAAAAAACAGAAGACAACTTTTGTTCATGTTTACATTCCCAGAGAGTAAAAAAAGTATCGCAGCATTTTTCTAACTTTTGGTCAATGCTTCTACTCAAACATTTTGAAACGAAATATTCATTTTATGTTACACGATGAATGTATCAACAATTATTGATCATCGTACACAACAGTAATTACTTTAGATTAATGTCACTCGAACGTAAGATACGAATTGTTACACTGTAACATTTTAATTGAGATGTAGAACGGTAATTAAAATTGAAATTGCAACGAAGATGTGGTTCCTATTCTGCACAATATCAATTCCAGCATATTACGTTATAAATATTACACGTATAACAGACCAGGAATTTGGAGCTTGGTTGGAACTTTCGTCACAAGCGCTCTCGATTTCTTTTCACAATTGTCAATCAATCGTTTCTTTGAAATACAGTTCTGATTGATATTGACAATTACATAGAATCCTTTCCACTCGACTGAAAGGTCGGACGCGAGGCGGACGATTGGTTTTAAGTTTATTGGTGGGACAGAGATAATGTCGTGCGATCGAGGGGGAAAGAATCAAACATTCTGTTTGACGCACATTTGGCAACGTATATTCAGGAAGAATAACAGACCTCGCCAATTTACTCGCAGCTGTTGATAATTGCCCGGAATCGTGCAAACACGACGCGCGAACATTATTTAGGCATTAAGGCTTCATAACGCTCTCGTAGACTCTCGTTTGGAAATTCTCCCTATGGCAGACACAATTTCAATTGCTCCCTAGCAACAAGCACAAATTTTCAACGAAATTTTTCTTTCGCGAACGAACTTTTCGCTTTCGGTCAGAGCGTGAATCACGGGAACGACATGGAAATTTCTTTCCTTCTTACGCAACGACGAATTCGTAATTCGTTTCGAATGTCTCATCACTCTCTTATTTGGCGAGGACAACGCACTTAACTCGATACTTAACCCGGGTTAACGACTGCAACTACGAATTTTGTAGTGTGCTTGCCCGACGATTTAGTAGAAGGGTACACACGTACAAAGATAGAAAAGCTTCGTTACTTATCACTTACGACCCTGTTTGTTTAGCATGAGTTTCACAAAAAGTAAAAGGAAATTTCCTTTTTTCTCGCCACGAAGAAACTCTTCAATTGTTTCCCACGAGCGAACGCGTCATTTAGCAACGCGCGTTCGATTCTCCTTCCGTTCGCGAGATTATTAGATGTACGTATATCTATTTAACTCGTACAGACAGGTCCATTGATCTCGTTAGCGGCGTGCAACAAGCTACAGGTCAGACATTTTCGTCGTGTTGCGTCACGTTGGAATCTAATAACTATAATCTAGAACTGCCGAAAATGGTCGGTATAATCTGTAATTTTTCTTAGATACTTTATGGTGTATTTCAGACTTAAATGATTTCTCTTTTTTTTTTTTTGTAAAAATGTATGGAACAGAAGCATTGTGTTACAAAGTTTCCCTATTTTTTTATTTTTTATTTTTTTTATTTTATGTCTCTCGTAATTTTTTTCTCTTTTTTTTTTTACTTTAATGTCTCGGAAATTGTATTTATATAATACTTTATATTTGATACTTTGTTGGTAGTTTTCTCCTCGCATTTGTACATACGTACCGCAAATGTGCGAGAAAATTTGCAATTTGCATTTGTCATGGCCGTTTCACTTAAAAATGTTTTTCATTTCGTCCAGCACGTAACAAACGTCTTTCTATGAGTCTTTAAATAGCCATTGACGCGCGTAGAGATAAGAAAAGGAGGAGAGAAAGAGAGAGAAAGAGAGAAAGAGAGAAATTAATGATTTCTGAAAAACGTTTTGCCTTCAGAGAGAGTGTCGGTCTACCGATATCCTTGGAAGACAATGAATCCTCGAGGAGTGATCGACGTGTCCGTGTTCGTCTGATCGTTCTTTATCCTCCATGGGCAGACCGTGCGGGTATTCATCATTGACTGGCAACGGCACGGCACTACCAACGATCGAGCAAGCTTAGGATCATGGAATTTTATGACGTGGGAAGCAGCGACCTTAGAGAATTGTGGGAGTCCTATCTCTCCGAACCGGTAAGCACACTCACTTTATTTCAATTTTTTTATTGCTTATGGATAGTTACTGGCAATTTGTACGTACGCGTAGACGCTCGAGGAAATGTCGAGGAAAGTATTCGATCAGTTTCCGAGAGTATTTATGTTATCAGATGAGTTATGAATTTTCGCGTCCGGGTGAACGATTGATAGGAAACGAGCGTCAAAGGAGGAAAAAAGAGAGAACAAAAAAAAAAAAAAATAGGCGGGACGCGTGTTTCGTGTTTCTGCTTCCTGTTTCCGCGGACACAGATTGCATTGTCCCAGCTTGTTAACGTGTAATTAGTTTGTCTGTAGATGAGCAACAGAGATTGAACCGAAGCGTTTCGCTTCCGTACGTTTTCTGGATTCGCTGGAGGCCTCGTCTTCGGCATTGATTCGTTAATTGCCCGTTTTAAAGGCGGAAGTTTGCTGCATTCGGTTGTTCGTGGCAAAGTGTTCTCGGTCGAATCGAGGAAATTGGCGTTAGTGATATTGGTGCACTGCGCGCACTTGGAAACGAAAGTAAAATTTAGTTTGAAATCGTGTCTTTTTAAAATTCTTTATTTGTTTAGATTCACGAATTGTTCAATTTTTCTTTATCTTCTTTTTAAAATTCAACCTCTTTGAGCAGAGAAAATTCAAAATTTTTGTCTTTTAAAACACGTTTATCGCGACTGTTCGGCTACCTAATTAACTTATCCCGGCTATTTTCGTCTTGTTCAGGAGTAGAACTTGCGTAATTATAATGGAACATCTTGTCGTGATTATTTTGCGAAACGCGAGTTACCGCGCTGTTTCATTGCAGCTCAGTCGTTTTATACGTCTCTTAAAATTCGCGCTGGAAGTTATTTTATAACACGGCTGAGAATGTTTAGTATCGGAGTGTAAATCGCTGGACGTATTAGTGTCTAGTTCGTTCATTTATATGTATAAATATAACTTGTCACTCCGTACCCTTCCACATATTTGCATATTTTTCTGTGCCGGAACAAATGAGAAAGAAATATTCCTGCTCACATTTCTGGTTTTTCAAACGTTCGTCATCGTTGTCTGAAAATCTCTAAAAGTTCGTCGAAATTGTTTTCTCCTTGGAAATCGAAATTACCTTCGATTGCAATTCTACGTAACGTTATTTGGTTATTTGTCATTGGAAAATTTGTGACACTTAGTTTTTCTCAATATGGTCGAAGGAAATTATTTGTTATTTGTGCAAGCAATAAGGAGATAAAAATAATTATAGAAATACGGTGCACGTTGAAGACTTAAAGAATAATCAAAAAAATTCCTTCTGATAAGTCTAAAGTCATAATTATCTTTGCCTGCCTGTAAAAAGTCATTCGTGAAAATATTTTGAAATGAACGAAATTAAATCAGAAAAAAAAAAAATGTGATTATTCGACCAATATTTACTGGAGAGATTATTTGTCAGTACGATTCATTCTGATTCGTACGGTTGCGTCATCTGTACCGTATTGTATTGTAGCTATTATTATATCAATCGCAACTTCCTTTTTTTCTGATCTCTTCTGTTTCTTTCACCAACCAATTGCATTACCACTAATTACCATCCGATGGAATTCGCCTTCCTATCGAATATTCATAATTTCCTTACCACTTGACCCGTCGTCCTCTTTCTACCAACCTTCCTTAACGATCGTGTTTCCTTCGAGCGTGGAATCTTTATTAATGACACGCGATTGCGGGCAAATTGTGCTGTCACCTCGTCGAACAATTACGCTCCTTTTCGTTTTTTTATAATTCAACTGGTAAATGGTCATTGATTCATTCCATTAGCGCGTTAAGCGATGGAGTAAGCAATGGTAATGATTATTTCGCGCAGTTGGCTGCCCAAGGATTAATATTTCTCTTTTCTTAAAATTCATGAAATTACTGAACACTAACGTGTTTAGGATTGTACAGCAATATCTCGGTCTGGTTTGATTATAAAAATATTCATTGTCTCTCGCACTAGGGACGAAGATTTGCTTTTCTTTTCGTCCTTCGTTACGTGACAAAGTGAAGCCGTTGGAAGATTTGAAACGATGGAAAATGATGTCCTAAAATTAGTAAAAAACTGTTTTCTAGTTTCTTATTAATAAGAATATTATTAATAAGAATTATTCTTATTATTCTTATTAATAAGTGAAGTCGTCGGAACATTTGGCGATGGTAAAACGATGGAAGATGGTGTTCTAAAATTAGTAAAAGACTGTTTTCTAGTTTTTTATTAATAACAATATTGTTAATAAGAATTATTCTTATTTATCTTATTATTCTTATTATTCTTATTAATAAGTAAAGTCGTTGGCGATGGTGAAACGATGGAAGATGGTGTCCTAAAATTAGTAAAAAACTGTTTTCTAGTTTCTTGTTAATAAGAATATTATTAATAAGAATTATTCTTATTTATCTTATTATCTTATTATTCTTTTTATTTTTATTAATAAGTGAAGTCTTTGGAAGATTTGGCGATGGTAAAACCATGGAAGATAGTGTCCTAAAATTAATAAAAAACTGTTTTCTAGTTTCTTATTAATAAGAATATTATTAATAAGAATTCTTCTTATTATTCTTTTTATTCTTATTATTCTTATTAATAAATGAAGTCGTTGGAAGATTTGGCGATGGTGAAACGATGGAAAATGATGTTCATGGAACGTTCGTAAAAATAACTGATCGTGTCTGTGAATTCTAGATCGCCAAGTTAACGAGCATCTGTTTTCTGCGTACACGCGCAGACACCTCCGTGTGGAATAGTAATCTCGATTCGTAAAACAGGTTTCGAATTCTCCTAAAAATTAGTAAAAAAAGGAAAAAACTGTTTTCTAGTTTTTCAGAATCGATTTCACCAATTAATTAATTCGATATACATTGGAAATATTCTTCTCGTAAGAACGAACGACTCGATCAAGGTTGAACTTTATTATGAATTTTAAGCTCGAAATTCAAAGACGGTCGGAGAAAAATGTAGTCAGATTCTAGCCGATTGCAAGGCACAGTCGAGTTAGGTAATTCTCGGTAATTCTTCGCTTTTGTGGCCTCGTCTTCATAGAGCAGCAGAACGTGGATTCTTTTCCCGTTAAGTTTAACGACTCCGCTCGCTGGAAAGTGTATATACACGCCTCTCTGCAATATCGTCTGAGAGATGACGTAATTGAGTAAAAGGGGATTGATCGCCTCCTCCTCCCTCCCCCCCCCCCAAATATGACGAGCCATCCGCGGAGGCACAGATTGCCTTTCAGTTTCTATTATGGGCAGAGATTTGTTGGGAAAAAGGTTCGGTTGGCAACCGAAAGGCAAATTCTTTGAAACTTCCCGCCTTCGTCGTGCACGCTGATGCATTTTCTGCTTCCTCACGTCGCCGCATATTTACGCTTTTGTACGCTAACGGCGTTCGAGCGTACAAAAAATATATTGAGAAAAATCGATTCAGGATATATCTCATTGTCCCTTGATACAGCGAAACGAAATAGTTATTGCTGTAAGTTGAGTAAGATTGTGACTAATCCAGCGAATGGTTCTTTTAAAGAAAAAAAATAGGTGTCCAACGTTTTAGACCTTCTGAACCTCGTAGCTTACATATTTTTTTATCAGTTCAATCTAAATTATATTTATTAACTTATATTTATATTATATTTATATTATTATTAACTTATATTTATATTATATTTATATTATAATTATATTATTATTAACTTATATTTATATTATATTTATATTATAATTATATTATTATTAAATTATATTTATATTATATTTATATTATAATTATATTATTATTAACTTATATTTATATTATATTTATATTATATTTATATTATTATTATCTTATATTTATATTATATTTATATTATTATTAACTTATATTTATATTATATTTATATTATTATTAACTTATATTTATATTATATTTATATCATTATTATCTTATATTTACACTATATTTATATCATTATTAACTTATATTTATACTATATTTATATCATTATTAACTGTCATTTATATTATTTACGGAGATATTAATTTATTTCATATTGAGGCAATATTGATTAGAAAAATATATTTATATTAAATCAAAAGAGTAAACTAGAAAATAAAAAATATTTCGTTGGCTCTTGGAAATTATTCGTAATTAATCACTCTGACATTAAATTTAAAAGAAAGGCACGATTATTCAAATAATAAAATTCTTATTCAATTGTTCCAATTTTGGTTATGCCGTCTGACACAGACAGTTACGTGACTAGTGGAATTTCTCTTTGAACTCTCACAGGGGCGTGAGGATGAAAGAGACGGAGGAGTATTCTTTCTGAAATAAATCTCAGCCTCAGTTCCTGTATCGTTAACAACGGCGATTCGTTGTGTCTCCGCGAGATCAAAGATTGTTTCCTTCCAATTATCGTGTCGTTTCTCGACACGATTATTTTTGACGCGATCGTTGTGCAAGCGACGATTTAAAACGATGTGGGACGTGTCACATGTACCAAATTGCAGTAAAACTAGGGTACGAGTCGCCAAGGACTCGGATTATACGGCCTGGAACAATGGTGGTCGGCGAAATCGCCTGAATCTTCGTTTAGAATTGAAACCTCCACTGAAACTGAACTAACAGCATCTTGACTAGCCTTAGAGAAATTTCCTAAGAGTGGAGTTGAAGACTTGTCTCTATTCTTTAATTGGAAAATATCTGGATCTTGCGAGACTTTTGTTTCTTCTATTTAAAAAACAGTAGGATGCTGCGAGGAGAAAACTTTGACGAGAACTTTGAAGGAAATGTTCTTCAACTAGGTGCAAGTGAGTCGAAAAGAAAGAATAAAATTTTTTGCTGGAGTCGAGTTTGAAAATTCCAATGAAAAGTGTAGAATAAAGAAAGAATTCTTTGTCTAAGGCGTCAGTTTCAAGAGGATAGAATATTTCAGTATGTTTCGTTAAGAGTTGCCTCGGATTTTCTCGGATATTTTCGTACGAATTTCGTAGAATAACCATCCGTTAATTGTTCTTTCCTGTGTCACGTTTAGAATTGGCCAATTGTAAGTTCAAGCAACCAGTAAGATAAATTATTAAGCACGACTTTCTCTCGAAAACGAGGAAGCGAGCTAGTCGCAAATTACGGGACACCCTGTACAGCAAATGCAGACTTTGAGGGCAGCGTCTTCCATATTCAATGACCGTCGATTAAGTATCTAATCTAATTAGGCCTGGCGATAAGGCGAAGCATGGCGTCGTGTCAGTGGCAGCCACCACTAACAACGTTGTGGTTGGCTGATTTTTGGTGCAAAAGCCGGAAGCAACCGTGCTCCGAGCTCATGAGCGGAAACACGTAGCTGAGGAGGAAGCAACACTCGTGATACCACGAGATCATTTTCTTTCCAGTATGCGTGCCCATATTTCACGACGAACCGCGTATGTATTCTCGCGTCACGTTACATTTTAGAATAATTTTCCAAACTAATTCTCGATCATTTTACATAAGTAATACGAAGCGTTATACTACGTCATTAATGATGATTTGTTGTTGTTTCTGAGTATTAATTACGATCTACTTCACTGATAAACGTTCGCATAAAATTATACGTAATGGCTGTTTGAGAAACGCATTTCCTGGTGTCGTATCGTAAAGTTGCACATTCTCTGTTTGTTATAGTTTGTTTATCGATTCAGGCCAATTCCATTCAGAAGTTTCCTAAGACATTGATAATTTATCAGGGTGTAAAATCAATCCTTGAATTTAAACGAAATCACCACTTATAAGAAGTAAATCGTAAAGTTCACATTAATATTTCCATTCGTTTCCACAACTATTTCCGGGCAAAGCTCAGTTTATTTCATTTGATTTCAATTGCATTCGATTTTAATTTAATCTGTCATTTGATAAATATTCGAAATAACGTTTGGTGGATCGTGCGACTCGGTGTTTCCTTGAATAATGTGAAATCGAGGACTGGCTTGTTTGTGAAAACGGTGCCGGTTCGTTTCGTTGAGCGGCGGCGTGTGTTCATTCAGCATTCTCGTCGAGGCGTACGCGCGTTTTTTACCTTACGCTGGTCTCGCTTCCTTGGTCTTGCTTCAGTCACGCATCAGTACAACCCGTAGGAACAAATTGGAAAGGATGAAGGTTGTTCGCGAGGAGTTCACTGTACCATGGCCTCTAATGTCCACGATCTGGATGTCACGTCGCGGATCGAGATTTTTTTCCACGAAAGTCGAACGCCAGTCTCTCGACACGGTTCTTCCATCGTTCGTCTTCGCTGTGAAAAAAACTGAAACTCGACGAAAATTCGAAATCTTCGACGTTCGAGACGAGTCGAGAAGACTCGAGTGTTTTGAAAAAATAGAATACTTACAATCTTTACAAAATTGCACAATTTACTCGAGCTTTCATTGTTACATTCTAACGTTTCTAACGGTATCTTTTTTAGTTTGGAACTGTAACATTTTCTCATGAACTTTAATTGAACTTATTCAACTTTCATTTATTGTTTGTTATTTATAATTTTATTCAAACTTTATTTATTATTTTTTGTTTATAATTTTATTCAAACTTTATTTATTATTTATTGTTTATAATTTTATTTAAACTTCATTTATTATTTATTATTTATAATTTTATTTAAACTTTATTTATTATTTATTATTTATTATTTATTCAAACTTTATTTATTATTTATTCAAACTTTTATTTATTACTTATTATTTATAATTTTATTCAAACTTTATTTATTATTTATTATTTGTAATTTTATTCAAACTTTATTTATTATTTATTATTTGTAATTTTATTCAAACTTTATTTATTATTTATAATTTTATTCAAACTTTATTTATTATTCATTATTTATAATTTTATTTAAACTTTATTTATTATTTATTGTTTATAATTTTATTCGAACTTTATTATTTATTATTTATAATTTCATTTAAACTTTATTTATTATTTATTATTTATAATTTTATTTAAACTTTATTTATTATTCATTATTTATAATTTTATTCAAACTTTATTTATTATTCATTATTTATAATTTTATTCAAACTTTATTTATTATTTATTGTTTATAATTTTATTCGAACTTTATTATTTATTATTTATTATTTATAATTTCATTTAAACTTTATTTATTATTTATTATTTATAATTTTATTCAAGCTTTGTTTATTATTTACTGTTTATAATTTGATTCAAACTTTATTTATTATTCATTATTTATAATTTTATTTAAACTTTATTTATTATTTAATAATTTTTAAATCAGAAATTGCGTTTTATAAAAGCAGAGAAAGTATCCGATGAATTGCAAACAACTGCAATTCAATTAATTATTAATAAGAGACAAAATTGAACAAAATAAATAGGAAGTCTGACTACGCGTTACCGTGGAAAAAGTAGGAGATCTCCCCAGTCGGTCATACAGGGATTTACTTTAAAGCGGGAAGATCTCCCCATCCGGTTGGCTAACAATAAATGCCGAAGGATTTGAAAATTTCGAGGAAATTATTTTAATATTGTCGTAATATTATTTGAATACTCTTTGAAAATTATTTTAATGTTGCTTCAACATTATTCCAATACTGTTTAACAATTATTTCAATATTGCATTTGATTAAATACTGCGACGATATACTTTCTATCTCTTCCACGTTATAAAAATCATATCACTATTCTCGGCAGAGTCAGAAATATGCGAATATTTTTAATATTTCACCACTCGGTTCGTTTTCTTTTTACGTAAAAATGGCGTCCGCTGTTACTACCTTAGTTAGCCATGTACGTTTTACAAGGACGACACGATAATTGTGTCTGTTCATACAGATAACTGTTGCTTGCGCGCTATTTCCCACTCTTTCGTTTTCTTCTTCTTTTTCTTTTTCTTTTTTTTTTTTTTTTTAATAAACGGAGGCTACGACATTATCAGATGTTAGAAATCGTAGAACACGATTGTTAATTTGACATTAAATGTCGGCAAAATCTTCGGATCGTTTGATCATTTTATCTACTGAGCGGTAATCGAACGAGTTTGTTTGATCAACCTAAATTTACACACTACGATTTTCATACAAATTGTTTCGATTAATGTTCCATTGATATTTGCAATTGCCTGAGAGGAAGCGTGCACTTTCGGTTCTATTTTAATCTAACGATTAAGTTATCGAAGCGTGACAACACCGCTATTTACTGCGATTCTTCGCAATTCTAAAGTCCGTGGCCGGCATGTAATTCGACAAAGATTTTTTCTTTCTTAATAACCATGTTTCTCTGTTACACATCTTTTTCGTTTTTCTTTTTTTTTTTTTTTATCAGCCGTTTGAATGCTATCGGAGGAAACAGATAAAGCGTACTACAATTACTAGGTAAACTGGCTTCTGCTGAACGAATCAAAGCCTTTCGCTGCCTTTGAAATTTCCTCCGAAAAAATTCTTCCATCTTCGCGCAGCTTTAAACAAAAAAATCTTATGTTCGTATTTTCGCTACCAAAGAAAATTTTTACTCCTCCGAAAAGTAGATTAGAATATTTGGATATTCATGTTTTCGCTACCAAATGAAATTTTTAGCTCTAAGAAAAAGAAATAGATTAGAATATTTAAATATTCATATTTTCGATACCAAAGAAAATTTTTACTCCTTCGAAAAGTAAATTAGAATATTTGGATATTCATGTTTTCGCTACCAAATGAAATTTTTAGCTCTAAGAAAAAGAAATAGATTAGAATATTTA